GAACGACACGCGCGCGGATCATCACCGAGCGCAGCCGCTCCGCTATGGAAAGTAGGGCGCTGCAGGCCCGAGAGGTGCCCATGCGCGCCGAGTTGGGCGCTTCGACAGGGCCGGATGAGGGGGAATCGGCCGCCGTGGCATGACCTTCAGTGGAGGATGCGGTGACGGGGGCGTCGAAACGCGCGGCATCGGCCGCGAAGCAGGATAGGATTTCATCTGTGATGGGGGGTTCGACCGAAGGGTAGGTAGGGATGATATCACCTGAACGGCAAAGATAGGTTGCAAGCTGTCCAATATAGACTACAAACAACGTCGAAGAAGACGCTAGCTTGATTGCATCGGATGATGACATAAATTGGGGAGAATTGGACAGCTAATTAGTTACTATAGATACCTAAACTTCTCTATAATCCCACCTCCGCCTTGTGTTAATGAGAAATAGGTTTACTATGGCTTAGAAGATAAGCAAGATAATAGGGTACTGAGGGTTTGATACACTAGCGAAGTTACCTAAACACGGCTGAATTGATTAATGAATAAGATATTCAAAGTCAAACACATTAGTTAATACTTTCAGCTTAATATTTTAAAATATAAAAATGTATTAACAACAAGAAAGAGCGATTATATTCGTGCATACTCAAAAGGTATCCTGGTCGATTCAAAAAAAAGAATAATGAAAAAGAGTAGAATAATCAAAACCAGGATTCAATATATTACTAAAATAATTCACTACAAAACGCTCTTCTAATAATTTTAAAGAATCCCATCGATGTCACTAATTTTCCTTTTTTTCCGCAGTAGCTACCGCCCCATTCTGATTTTCCCGTTTCATTTTTTTTTGCTTGCCATCAAGTATACCCACAACGATCTGAAGAGCGAATGTCGCAACGAAGACAAAAACCATTGTCGGCCCCATCCACCACGGCCTTTTTACCTCCACGCGCGGCGAAAGTGTCGAGGAAATCGGAGCATACCCATGCACCCACACCCGCTCCTCATCCCCTTCTTCTTCTGTGCTTGAGCCACCCTTCCAAAGGCTCCGTGGGAGCCACAAGTCTATCATAAACTCATGTTCTGAGAAGAAATTAATGGTAATGCTTCCTTTTCGGGAGGGTTTGGTGGGAGAATCGGTAGGTAGGTTGAGGACCGCAGAGGAGATTCTCGCGAACTCGGGCACATCACTGAGCAAAACGCGCGTCATGCTAGGTCGTGTAGGGCGAAAATGCATCTCAGTTTTGGCCGTAGGCAAAGCAACGCCTTCCTGAATCATGTCGACCCCCTTCCGCAAGGCCTCAGGCTCCTCGGAAAGGTAAAAGGCCGTAAACTCGACGGAAGGCCGCTGCTTGAAAGTCGTACCCTGTACCACTCCGTCAAAAACAAGCAAGGTCGGCCGCTCTTTCTTGACGGGAGGGCCATTCGAGACTTTGGATTTGGAGGCCGTCTCCATACTCGCTGTTAAGCCGCTTAGTTCGTCATCAAGTTGCTCGCGCATACGAGAAAAATGCGGAAGGGTACCCACCGCGTCGCCTTCATCGCCATCCATCGTCGACATAAGATCGCCGTGTGGGATTAGCTCCCCATAAAGGTGTCCTTTGAAGTTGGGGGAGCCTTGAATGTGAAGTGAGGCGTTAAAAACGCCGAAGGATTGCGTAATGACGCTAACTTCGAAATCCTGAGAGAGGATATCCAATAATGTTGGGATGCTTTCGGAACGATATTTCTCAGTATCTGACGCTGACGCCGTCACGGAAGGGATATGTGAAAGAAGGAGAACCACCAACACATTAAATAATAAAGGCTTGAGTTTCATCTGAATTTTTTTGCCTTTATTTTGTTTAGAAAACTATCTTCTACTGCGATAAATTACTAGGAAAAAATACCTATACGCCCGTGAATTTTTTAAAAAGAGATAGTGAAGAGTGTGTAATAATGTACTTATATTTATAGATCATCGATAGAAAACTCTTCAAACCACGAATAAACGCTTTTGAACGGATCTCATATGAAAGGATGTGAAATGTAGAATAACTTCACCAAAATCATTTCACATGATATTTAAAAAATGAATCACAAAGAAGGATTAGACCTACAACGCACACCTACCAAAAGAAGGCATTGCAATAAGGAATCCAAATAAGAAAGGAAACCAAACGCAGAAAATCTAGCAGCGGCTTGATAATCCACAACTCTACAGGCAATCCCAAATGGAAAAGAGCAATGCAGACTACGATTCCACTGCTAAGGTAGTAAAGAAAAAAAAAAGTGCTGTATAAAGCAACCTTAACGAGAAGAAGAAAAGATACGGGGAGGAGAATAAAAGACTCTTGCAATCCACTTTGACTCCATGAGTATTTTTATTGTATTTAACTCGAAA